AACTCCTGTCAACTATACAGAACTATCGTAAAAACATACCAGTAAATTCTTATCGGTTGGGTTAAGTTATAAATCTACTCGTTATTCACGTAATCGGCCAAATATCTAGCGGGCGGGCGGCTAACGGCCCAGAACCGGTCCCGGATAGAATTGGAAGCGTTATATGTGTAGCATCAACCCGAGGTCGTAGGCTTCCACCGGCTAAACCGGGTGAGGTTGGTGCTCTGTAAAGCGCATGCGCGAATCTGGTTTTTTTTGGATGCTGACAATACGGTGGTTCCACTCCGCCACTAATATTCGAATATACAATTGCGATCTTATTTTTTTTCACGTGTAGTATAGAAATTTGTAATAAGATACGTAATGCGGTTATAATAAAATATTGTGCGATTATTTTCATATAATTAAAATTAATATGTATTATTATTTATAAAATACAAGGGAAGTGGCACTTCCACCGCTTCTAATGACGGCACGCCACAGCTATTTAAGTATTTAAAAAGTAAAGAAAACTCGGAAAACGCTACGTGGTCAGCCCGTTGATGAAGCATGAACCCGCGACCACTATTGGTGTTCAAATGTACAGTGCCTTGTATATTTTATAAATATAAATAATGTACTCGAATTGTTTTATTATTACACATATGTTATCACTCTCTAATTGTTGTTTTTATACTTTGTTTACCTTAAAACTGTGTACTTCATTGACGCCTATAATGTAACTTTGTTTCTATTTTGGTAATGCCATCAGCGGTATCAAGAATGTACAGTTTGTACCAATAAAATAATAATAAATGAATGAATGTACTCGAATTGATTTATATATTTAACTCAATTATTAATTTCTCGTATCTCGTCTTGTATATATTTAATCATAATTTTAAAAATTTCTAATAATTTCACTCATTGCAACCAATGGCATGCAGTGACATTTGATAGTGGGAAAGCTGAGTTCCTGTAAGAAGCCGACTTCCAGAGACAATCAGTTAATTGCGCGTCAGTGATGGTCAAGGATCCATTCGTATCGTTTGTTTGATAAGCCGGTAAAAACCGCAGACTACTCTAAATGTATTTTCAATATCACAATTACATGCCGAATCGCTAGCCACGATATAAAAGCTAAGATTAAAAATAAAATAATAAAAACTAACTTGGTGAAATAAAATGT